GCTAAACCTATTATGCTTCTCATTTGTTTCACGGCGTGGGGAGGTCCACGCGCGAAGCTTTCCACGCTCGAGTAGCGCCGCTATGACTAGACGCGTGATGTAAATTACCGCCGCCCCCCCCCCCCCCAGGTGACCCCGGCGAGAAGGCAGCTCCCAAACTTCACGTTGGCCCTGGGGCCGACGAAGCAGACGCGCGGCACGCTGAGCGAGAGACAGCGCGGATCAGCGCCGCGCGCACAGTTTGTCGCCCATTGTTCTGGGCGGTGCTGAGGGTCTCGACGGTCGCCGAGCCCCCCCTGATGCACTGGGTGAGATGGCGGCAAAAAGCAGTTAAGGAACACAATGAGGGGAAGAAAACGTTCAAGGATGAGGGGCGCGTCTACTTGGGCCCCGCGCCTATGTCTGATTTCATCGTTAGCAAAGCTGAGCAGCTCTCCAAGGATATTTCGGGCCTTCTTGATCCAGGTGCCGCTGCGGATCCACTGCGCTGGGGGCACGTATGGGGCGAGCTCGCTTGCCCAGATGAGGCGGCGCAGACCAGGAAGCGAGGCCCCTGCGATTCGACCCTTCCCCCCCTCGCGCCGCCTGCCACCCGCGCGGAAGAAATGAGATGGAGCGAGGAAGGGGGGGGGTGGATTGAATGGTGCACCTGGGCGCTCTTTCCCAGGTTGCCACTGGTGCTCGTCTTATTGTCGAGAGCGTCCTTCGCGTTGCAGCAAGCTACGCATTCCGCTTCCTCGTGCCACTCGAATCATGGCATCTGCAGCTGCTCAGGTTTGTGTCGAGATCCGCAGGTGAGAAAGACGAGAAGAGACATATGATTGCTACCACGACCGTCAACATGGATGAGCGTTGCCTCCTGAAGGACCGCCTCAGCGACGTCGCGTGGAAAGTATCAAAACTATTCAAAGAAGAGTTGCTGGTTATTTCGCACGCTGGGCAGGTACCGTGCCATCTTCATGGTTTTCTACCCTTGTGGCGCGCAGAGCTGCCTTCGGAGACGCAGTGCATTGAGGGGGTCAACAGCGTCGTCACAAACATGGGGAGGGGGAGCCCCGCCTTGCAAGTTGCCAGGGCGTCGGATCGCCTTGCGTTGAAGATCGGTGACGCTATTGCGCCAGAAGAGTGTTGTGAATTGCACGATGGGACCGTGGCGCACATGAACGCACACTTGTATGCTTTGGGACTCGCGCCAGCTTCGACCACAAACGTGCCCGCGCCAGTTGCTCCGAAAGCTTGCCCCCGCCATCGATACGAACGCGCGCGCAATCGCGGGCCTGGTTGACCCACTTGGGCGCCAACTACCTCTGAACGCATTGTCGGTGCACGCGTTTCAGCCCGTGAACGGCGGGGGGCAGCAATTTGCATTCGTCGTTGCATGGTCTTATGACAGGCAGAAATTTATCAGTGAAGGCGCCGTGGGGAATGGTCGAAGCGTGTTTGCGATTCAACTACCGCTGGTAATTACCCACATCAAGGATATAATCAGCCAATACTTAATTTATGATGGCGAGGCTGGCCATGCCATTGCTGCTTCTGAACGCCCTCTGCCACCTGCCCCGCCTCCAAAGCGTGCGAGGGGGGGCGCGCTCGAACTGCATCGGTATGGAGTTACGCGGGGTAAACAGCTGAACGGGGGACGCCTGGATCGCGCTACCCGCCAGGTTGAGCGTGAAGTGGGGGAAGCCTCGAACGAGCGCCAAGAAGCCTGAACCAGGAGGTGCCGACCCCAAAGGTGGAGACGGTTTGGAGCAAATGTCCGAAGACTTCCTTGGCGGAGCACATTGGGGCAAGGAGTTCGGACACGACGATGGGGACATCGACGTCAAAGACAGCGAGGTTGAGGTAGCTGTTGACGTTGTCACGTCTGGCGGTGATGTGGCGGTGGAATGCACCGCCAATGTGGACAAATGTGCCGACGATGATGCCGTTCTTGGCCATGGTGCCCACGATGCTGGCGTACCTCGATCGTCTCTTTCCGAAGCTGACGCTGCCACTACCATCGCCGATATCCGAGCGTTTGTGGCAGAACGTCGGTCATCAGTTCAGGAGGCCGTCGAGAAGGCCAGGTTGTGCTCGGCGACGCCTTTAGCTGTCAGAGGTATCAGCTTGGCGATGGTGGATGGAGCAAATCAGGATTGCGCGTTTGTCCGCTGGACAAATCCAGCGCTGCGGGGAGCCCGTGAGATTTCATTGGGCGGCGTTGGAGGCATCAAAGCAATAGTTGCGTTCGCTGTTCCGAACATCGTTTATGATGGAGAGGTCGTGATTGCAGACGCTGGGGCTACGATGGAAAAGGTAAAGAAGGGTGAGCGGTCAAAAATGCAGTGGTGCCTGACATTGCAATCACTTCGTCGGGCAGCCCTCTTTTCGGGGGCACCTCAGCATCGAGGCGCGTGGTCTGCGAGGCAGTCGCCAAGATGTTGCCTGATGGCGCAGATGTTGATTTCGATGTGTTCAAATGCTGCGAATGCCTTACATCGTGGCACGTCGGGTGCGCCAAGCGCTTGGGCCCGACGTTCGTCGAGGAGCTCGATCACTTTCGCTGCCCCGTCTGCGCAGCACCGTGATGCGCAAAAGCAAACAAAGACGTCGTCAGCATCGTCATGTGTATCATCCTCCTCGCCACTCCCCCTCATCCCCGCCCTCCCCCCCATAAGCATCATCACCCTCCTCATCATCATCGTCATTAGGAGCTCCTGGCCTTCTTAGAAGCGTGGACCATCATCATCATCACCACCATCCCCATAATCAACAGCATAATCATCATCATCAACAGCAGCATCGTCATCATCACCCTTATCATGACAGAGGCCCTAAGTCAGCCCAGACGAGCCCGTGCACTCCTTTTCCTGGGCCTTAATTTTGTTGCATGGCCACGCGGTGGCCGCTTCAGCAGTGGAGGCACGAACTGAAAGAGTTCGTCTTGAAGCACCGTGCGCCCTTGCGTGAGCGGTTGTGTCCTTGTGATTTGTTCAAAGGGGTCACGTATTGCGGCCCTCTTGGGCCTTGAGGCTTTCTTAGGGCGCACACTTGTTGTCTTCGAGGTCCAGGTTTTGCGCCCACCCCTTCCCCGCTTCTTGCTAACAGCCCCCCCCCCAAGAAGCCCCCCCCCCCCCCCCCTCCCAAAAGGGGGCGCCTCGCGCGCCCTGATGGTAGCCGCGCGCCCGTGCCGCCACCGCCGCCGCCACAGATCGACGCCAGGGTGTCGGCATCCTTGCCTGCTCCATTGGCCCGCCCAACGTGCACATACATGGTCGACGAGGGGACATGGGCCCTGCAGAATGCTGCGCGATCATCAAACATAGCGTGTGTATCATGGTGTGTCCGTTGTTGCTGTTGCTATCAACGTTTGTTTAATATGGTGTATTCAATGTTCGATTCGTGGTGGTGTTGTATGTCTGTCGCGGTGTAGCGGTCATGTGTGGCTGCGCGTGTTTTGTGGTTGTTGTTTTATGGTGTGTGTGTGTGTTTTTATGTTATTTCATTTTTTTGATAGAATTTATTCGTTGGTTGGTCTATGTGTTGTTGGTTTGTTTTGTGTGTTTTGTGCGTTGCTTACGCTCTTGACCCACTGGCCGATTAGGCACGGCGTGTCTAGGCTCAAGGGGTGAGTTAGGCACGCCGTGCCTAACCAGCCCCTGGGTCAAGGGGCGAGTTAGGCACGCCGCGCCGAACCCCCCTCCCCATGCGCCTAAACGAGCCATGCCTTACCGGCCCTCGATCCCAGAACGGCGCAGACAAGATGCAATAACAAAATCGATCAATATCAACAGAAACATGAAACAAAAACGCAACCGAACCCACGCCAGAGAAACGTCTGCTCGTTTGTTTCTTCGGGTCTGGCGATGTAGCGGACATCTTCTGCTACGCACGCAACCCTTCTGCCGACTGCCGCCGTCTCCCGCCCCCCCCGCCGCCCTGCGCCAGGCCCTGTCGTCGCCGTGGCCGATGGCGATTGGATCCACCAGTGCGCGAAGGAGAAAGTCTTCGACTGGACCATCGAGGAATTGCAGGATCGCGCTGGGTTGTCGAGCCTGAGCCAGTAGGGGATGTTACAACCGACCCCCTTGGTAGTAACATCCCCTTGTTGTCGATCCTGCGTGCCCGCCCCGAGCGAGTAGGGGATGTTGCTACCGACCCCCTTGGTAGTGACATCCCCTTGTCGTCGATCCTGCTTGCCCGCCCCGGGCCAGTAGGGGATGTTACTACCGACCCCCTTGGTAATAACATGGGTGACGGGGCCACATGCTGGCTCAAGTTTGACTCGTAGTTCGATGGTGTTCCTGGTGGGGGACCCGTGCTCTGTTCCCGAATGGTTTCGAAACCGCTGACGGCGTTTCAGATCGCCCAAGATGTTTCGGGCTATGTCGTTATTCAAGATAATTGCCGATGGTCAACGCTCACAAGGTCTAGGCCCTGGGTAGCGTGGGGTTTCCTGAACATGTTCTGGAGGTCTCAAGACATGTTGATGTTGAGGATGTTTCAGGTATGCACATACCCGACACACACAACGAATACACCATACGATGCACATGTACGACACATACTATGTACATATACGGCACATACAACACATACTAAAACCGAATACTACTACACAACATACTACTACTATTGCACATACCATTACTACTACCTCTTACTCCTACCCTCCCCCTCCTCCTCCGTCTCCTGGTCCTCCTTTGAAAGGAACTGATTGGTCATGGGCGCGCTATATCTGAGGAGCAGGTGTTCATCGACTATTGGTTTTTGGTGGATGGTGACCGTGCGACGCCCGTGGTTACATCAAAAGGAGACTGGGCCCTGACTTGAGACGTACACAACGATCGTGGAGACAGAGCTACGATCTTGAAACGAATGGAATCTATCATGAAGTTGGGGATCTTCACCGACCTCAGAGGGGGGCCACATTGGTAGAAGGTAAGGACCTCTCGAGAACAGAACACTACGATGTATGCCACTGCGCTTCATTATCAGATGGCGCATGAGAGCCGTGGATGGAAAACCCTGGACACAAGAACTTATCGGATACCCGGAAGACTGGATGGAAGCCTTGCAAAGTCTACAAGAGAGCATCACCTAAGTATGCGAGGCGATGGCTGAAGGCAAAAGGTAACATAGTGAACGACCAGGTTGCCCAGACTGGCCCGCTGGAGATCTGGAGGTCTGCGAAGACAATAGAAGCGATGTTCACCAGACGCAAGCACGCGATGGGGTGGACTATAGCTTCCCACGGGCAATCGGGCTTGGAAGATTTACGGCTCGAGTTGGCCTGCACTGCCTACCCTGGGAGATGGCCTCAGAAGCGGTCGTTGGAGAAGTGCATCGTTTTCATCAATGGGGCCGAGAACGCCATGATGAGTGACACTTCGGACGAGACTGCGTGGTCAGAGATAGAGCGTAGGGCCATGAATGAGTCGGACCTTTCCAGCGCATACCTGATCAACAACAGGCATAATATTTTCACGTCACCCGAGCACCTCATCAAGAGGCTAGCGTTCGATGGGCACGGGCCTCAGGCTATCGTCGACTTGGTGCTGCTGATGTTCCCCAGCGTGGTACCGTATGGGAAATGCTCGGTGTTCCCCGCTGGCATACGCCCCGCTGGCATTCCAGTTATCACGAGGGTTGAGGAGTGGGACATCATGGACTTGCTGAGGCCCCTGAGCGCAACGGTCACTTACGCAGCCTTGCAGGACGGTGGGGTCGCGAAGGAGAAAGACGCAGCTATTGCCGAGAAGGCCGGCCAGAAGGTCAACGAGGTTATCGTGAAGGCAAAAACTACGCGGGTTAAGGCGACCATCGCGAAGGGCAAGGGCAAGGGGAAACGCACGCGTCCAACGGCTGGTCTTTCGAGCCAGGCGCTCGCCCCATTGGCGCTGGACACCGATAGAGTTGAGATGTTGCCAGATGACGCAGCGGACATGAGCATATTGGCGCAACTGGAGGCGACGAAGCAGTATTTCATCAAGAAGGACCCCCGCCAGAAGGAGCTTGCGTCGGCGTTCAGGCTTGCAGCCTTCGCGGGCCTCTGCAACGGCGGCAAGGGCGTCGAGCGGAAGGTCTTGCTGAATCTATTTTGCACTTCCCAACACCTCGAAACATTATGTGTGGTTCCATGTTCAGTGGTTCGTTACGAACCACGGAACATGGAACTTGCATGATGTTTCGTGGTGTGTGTACGTGCGAATGTGATTCCCATAGTCCCAGGCCAAGGGCAGTGTCAAAATGGTTAAGCAGCTTAGCAAGCTGCGCAGCACGATGAAGGCCGAGCTCTACAGATGCGCTAAGCTGTTTCCTCGCCTGTCGGACCCCGACTACGCGGCGCTGCAGAACGGGGACGAGGACGACGCAACGGATGTGCATGCCAGCGTGGACCAGGGCAAGACGATGGAGCAGCGGGTCATGGAGCTCATGAAGGAGAGCAAGTGTGACATCGAACGTTTCATCTACACCATTGAGTCGAACAGTCCTGAGTTACCTATCAATGGGCATGTCTGCGCAGCTTCCGCGCTGAACACTACGATGGTGTCCGCGATGCAGACTTTAAGCCAGAAGAGCCCCCTCGAAGAGATCAAGGACGCCTACGACTGCCTGCTGGAGGTCTCGCTGCAGAAGGTGCTGGAAGTTTATCTTGTGGAGTGGGATGTATATGCTAAGTGCGCAGAGGCTTGGCCTGTATCAAATTGCAGATGCGCCCCCTGGCCCACCCTCCCACGGCCCCTCAAGTTGGAATGGGGGCGGTGGGAGGGGGGGGGGGGGCAGGTCGGCGTGCAATTTCATCGGCGCAACAGCAGTCCGTCGCCACTGCAGTCAACCCTCGGTCCCAGGTGCTGTTCGACTTGGGCGTCAACCCCACGATGATGTACAATCTCAGGCGGCAGCTGCACGTGTATGTGGTATCCAATCTGGGAACTCAGATGGCGATTGCCACGAAGCATGGCAAGGCCTCTACAATGAGTTACGTGCCCGCACTTGTGCAAGATGCTGTCTCCGCGGTGTTCGGAGACTTCTCGTCATCCCAGTCGGCGCCTCTGGCACCGTCGTCTTCTGCCGAAAGGCGTTGATCGCGCTGGAGCGACGCGGTCCAGGGCGAGATCTGGCAGGAGGTGATGCGCGAAGGCGCGATGTCGCAGGCAAGGGGGGTGAGGACGGCGAACGCATATAGTTTAATCGCATGCTAGCCCGACCCTTTCGAAGCCCCGCCGCAATGCCAACGGGGGAGGGGCGGCGGGGCGGGGGAAGTGGGGGGGGGGGGAGGATGGGGGATGCGGGAATGGGGGCTGCGGGCTACAGGGGGGCGGGGGAGTGGGGAAGTGGGATGGGGTTAAACGTATGCGATCGCCCTCGATACCCTCGATACCTCTTCAGGTTGATCGCCCCAGCTGGAAGGGGGCGCAGATGGAGTGGTTCGGCAAATTATGAGATGCCGGCGTGGATTGCGAGAGACACGGTGCCAAGGGGTTCCTGGCGAAGCAGACTGAGTTCAAAACGTTCTTGGAGAAAGCGACCGTTGCAAACATCTGGAGGCGCATCAAGGACGAAGGCCTCGTCGTGAAGCAGGCCGACTTGCCTAACAGCGTCGGCCTTTTCGTGAGCGAGCGGGCCAAGGCTGTATCCCACATATTGTCCAAGAGCGGCGAGAAGCACGCTGAGGCTCGCAAGCGGCTTGACACAATGAAGCACCCTCGCCACCTCGCCGACGCCGCCGCGCTGCGTGGCTTCAAGCCGGCGGCAGAGCAGCAGACGCAGGCAGTTGCCCCCGTTACCTTCGTAGAATGGCACAAGAAAGGAAAGAGCGTGTTCTACCGCTGCTGGCGGAAAACCGGGGGGGGTCACTACCGGTTCGAACCCCTCCCCCCCCCCTCCGGAAAACCGGGGGGGGTCACTACCGGTTCGAACCCCTCCCCCCCCCCCCCCCAGCTCATCATGAAAAGGGGGGGGGGTCACTACCGGTTCGAACCCCCCCCCCCCCTCGAAAACCGAGTGGGGGTGCGGACAGAGGTGGGGGCGGTGTTGGTGGGACAGTGGTGAGGGGACAGCGGGACAGTGGTGGGGACAGTGGGACAGTGGGACAGTAGAGGGCCGGTAGTGGTGGGGACAGTGGTGGGGACAATGGTGGGAACAGGGGGGACAGTGGACAGTGGTGGGGACGGTGGTGGTGGGGACAGCGGTGTGGGCACAGTGGGAATGAGGTGGAAACAATGGGACAGTGGAGGGTACAATGGTGGTGGGGACAGTGGTGAAGGCGGTGGCGAGGACGGCGGTGGGACAATGGGACAGAGGTACAGTGGGGGCAGTGGTGGGGACAGTGGGGACAGTGGTGGGAACAGTGGGACAGCTCAGTGGGACAGCGGCGGAGTCAGTGGGACAGTGGGGACAGTGGGGGTAGTCGGGCAGCGGTTGGGGCCATGGAGACAGTGGGGAGAGTGGAACCGTGGTGGGAACAGTGGTGGGGCCAGTGGGGACAGCGCGACAGTGGTGGGGGCACTGGTGGGGACGCAGCGGGGACAGCGGTGGTGAGGACAGTGGTGCTGGGAACAACAGTGGAGGATGTGATGCGGACGGTGGTAGGGACCGGGAGTCGTTTGCTGGCGGTGAGTGGGGTGGGGGGGGGAGGGGTTCGAACCGGTAGTGATCCCCTTCCGGTTTTCGAGGGGGGGGGGAGGTGTTCGAACCGGCAGTGACCCCCCCCGGTTTTCCGGATCCGGAGGGGGGGGGGGGGGGGGGTCCGAACCGGTAGTGGCCCCCTTCGGTTTTCGAGGGGGAGGGAGGGGGGGGAGGGGTTACGGGAGGGGGGGGGGGGTTGCCAGGGGAGGGGGGGGGGGGGGAGGGGTTCCAGCAGGGGGGGGGGATTTTCGGAGGGGGGGGGGGGGGGGGCGACTCCCGGGCTCCGGAGGAAAGGTTGGCAATTTTCCACAGTAAAGCGGCGGTGGATCACGCTCTCTCCAAGAAAGCAATCGCCGACGAGATCGGCCTCTACGCGATGTCGGTGGTGGACGTCCGCGCAGCGATCGCGGCCGTGCAAGCGCAGTTCGACGACTTGAACAAGAAGGGCTACCCAGAGTTATCCACGCTTGGCATGATGATCGATGCGAAGTACCCCGAGAAGAACAAGGGCAATGGCGACAAAGGTGCAGGAAAGACGTCCAAACCAAAGTATAAGGTGTTCCCTGGGGTTGTCAGCGCTGGAGCCAAGAAAGCCAAGACCGACATGGGCAAGAGCCTTACATATGCACCGTTTTGGGGAACCGTGGTGACACGAACCGTTGCTGAGACCATCCCTGTGGGGCAGTGCGTCGGCATGGGCAGCAGTGACGGTGTTGGCTTGGATCTATACTTACATGGAACGAACCACAACAACCCTAAATCTTCGACGCGCAGCTTACCGTGGCTCATTCCAATTTTCCAGCCTCCGAAACCTACTGGTGATGGCACGGCTACTCCAGCTGATGTCGTGGAAGCTACGGGCACTGGTGCTGATGCTTCAAAGACTGCGGCAGGTGACGGTGCTGCGTCTGAGGTTAGCCTCGTCAAGACGTCGCCCCCTGGCAGCCCTGGCACCGCGACGGCAGGCTCGGGTTTGAAACGTGCTCGGAAGTCGACTGCTGCAGCCGCCGAGGTGCATAAGTACGTGCGCGAGGTGGTGCACAAGGACGTGGAGATCGATGTCCCTGGTGTCGGGAGGCGCCATGGCACGTAAACTCCTCATCATCCAGTCATCCACGTCCTCCGCCTACCCATCCTTCTCCTCCCTCTGGGGTTCCTCCTTTCTCCTCCGCCATCTCCGTATGTGTATTTGGATGTGTAGCATCACGTTTACCCTACCACGAGGATTTGCGATCTTCCTCGCGCCCATCCCCCTACTCCGCACCCCCTCCCCGTCCTCGCTCGCCGCCTTCGGGAGGCGGATGTGGGCGGGGGCCCAAGACCTCGCAACGTCGGCAACCCATGACAACACATCGCAGGTACACGTACTCCACCCCCCTACCTGCGCGTGCCCGTCATGGACACCGTGGACGCCAAGATCTCCAGGGATCCCGCCCTGGTGGATTCGGAGGAGAGGACCACAGTGAAGGCGATCAAAGATCGCCCCCCGTCGTTCCTGGTGCTCTAGCCGTCTGGGCTGGAGCTGATCGGACCCAATCGTTTTCTTTGGTCGCGCCGCCACAGACGGCCGCGCGGCAGCAGGCCGCAACCCGCCTCGCAGAGAGGGATCAGAGATCAGAGATAATGGCAACGCCCTGTTGACGAAAAAACGAAGGCCATATATGATCACAGCCTGTCGGCGCCACCGCCGCACGTCTAAATTTTGAGGCCGCTCGGACCTGCGCTAACTTGGCCTGGAATGGGCCATGCTGGGCTGGTCTAGCTGAGCTAGACAGCTGGAGCTGGATTGGGCTGGGCTGGACTGGGCTGGACTGGTGGGCTGGATTGGGCTGGACTGAGCTGGACTGGCTGGATTGTGGCTAGGCGCACCCCCGCTCGACCAGATAACTTAAATTTCTGTTTGTCAAGTTTATTGAGACGTGTAATGCAAACGCGCGTTAAGTTTAAATGTGTATCACACAACAAATGCTATCATCATTGATTTAAACACGCGTGTCATATCACGTTGCGCTTGTACGTATTGAGTTTTGGTGCCTGGGCCGCGCGCGTGTTTCTTACGTTTTGCATGGGCGCCGCTCGTATTTTGTTGCGTAGCACATGGGCCGCACGTGCGTTTCCCATGTGTTTCACGGTCAGATTCTGCAGCCGTAGCAAGCAAGACGCTTACAAATCCTTTAACTGTAGGGCGCGAAAACCAACACGTTGCAAGACCCCCAGCCACCGGGGCCGCGGCGAAGGCTGCGGGCCACCGCCGCGTATTTTCGAGCAGGGAGTCCAGCCAGTCTCACGAGCCAGGCCTTTCCTCGAGCTCATGTGCGGCTCCGCCCGTCTGGCCAACGCCGTCGCCGCCGCTGGGTGGGCTGCGCAGGGTTGGGACGTTCAGGGCGGCGACGCCGCCGATCTCCGTCAGCCGAGCGTCATTGCCCGCCTAGAGCGCATGATTTTAGACCGCGCTGTGGAGTGTGGGGGGGGGGGGCGCGGGCGTGGCCCCCCCTGTGAGAGATGATGAGAGCTTGTGGGGTTTGCCGGATCTCAGCGCGCAAGATCGTCGACAGCTTGGGGATGCCATTTTCTTGCTCTATAATGTGCTGAGTATGTTGGACGCCGCGTTGCTCGCAGGTGTTCCCTTCTTACTTGAGAACCCCTCATCTTCGCGTCTGTGGCAAGTCCCGAAGCCCGTCTCAATCGCTGAAGCCGCGGGCGCCGAGAAGGCACAGGTGGATTTATGTCAGTGTGGTGTGCCATGGCGCAAGGCAACCACCTTCGTGCTTTTCAAGTGGCCTCGCGCTCAGGGTGAGGTCAAGCGCTGCAGTAGTATCAAAGGTCGGTGCAGTGCTACAGGGAACAAGCATATCATTCTTCAGGGTAAGGACCCCAACGGGTTTTCTTTTGGACCGCGGGGGTGCGCCGTATCCAACTGAGCTATGCAGAACGCTGGCACGCCTCTGTGTGGCCAAGGCCAATGCACTTCTTTGAGAGCGGGTAGGGGTTTGAGGCTGTGGATTTTGCTGTCGAGCTCCGTCCGCCTGTGCTTCTTTGAGCTTGGCGCGCGTTCGCTCGTTCCCTGCGCTCTGGCCGAAGCAGCGGTCGAATAAATAATGATGTGCGGATGCGCTTTGCGCCATCAGGTCCCCTGGCACGGGATCGCTCCAGGTGTTCATGCTTAGTGCCTGCAGGTGAATGATATTGGGAGCTGTGGAGTGCCGCGGGCTATATGGGCTCAAGTTCTCTGGCGCCATCCAGCCATCCTCCTCTGCCACCTGCCCTTTTTTTGTAAAAAAAAAAAAAACCTCCTCCAACCTGACAGGGTTTGAGGTTGTGGATTTTGCTGTCGAGCTCCGTCCGCCTGTGCTTCTTTGAGCTTGGCGCCCGTTCGCTCGTTCCCTGTACTTTCTGGCCGAAGCAGCGGCCGAATAAATAATGATGTTCGGATGCGCTTCGCGCCATCATATCCCTTGGCGCGGGATTGCTCCAGTGGTTCATGTCTGTCTGTCTGTCTGTCTGTATGTCTGTATGTATGTGGACCCTTCTTCCAAGACGGGAGCCCCAGGATCAGTGGCCCCAGGGGCTTCCTGAACGCCCCGGCAGCGCGCCGCCAACATATTGTGGTGAAGCGAACTTCGAGCGCCTGCGCGTCGCATAACACCGGCCACCCGCTGAGCGGGCCCACGCGGGGGGCCGTCGCCCACGCGGGCGACCTGCTCAGGTACGGTTTGGAGCTGGACTTCCAAGGCCGCGGCATCCGCGTCCTCCACATTTGGCGACCCGACGAGCTGGTTTATGTCCGCGTTGCAGTCCGCTGAGGCAAAGACCGCGGCGTCGCGCGTGCGCAGCCGTCCACGACGAGGTTGTGCACGCGGCTGCCCGAGCGGTCTTCAGAGGCCTGCCCGGGCCATCTTGGAAGCCATATTGGGTATCTCGGACTCTTTGGAGAGCACCAGAGAGTCGTCGGGGCGCCCGCGGTGCATCGGCATGGGGGGGAGGGCCCTAGAGGATTTCAGAAGTCCTACAAGACAGCACCACAAGCTTGTTGGATGAGGACTTCCAGCGTGGCCTTGCGTTTTACCGGTTGAGGGTGGGGGATGTTGCGTGGCAGTGCGACCTTGCGATGTCGCGCTTGCCAACATCACCCTCCCCATTTCGATTCGTCCGATTCGACTCGATGTGATGTCGATGGCTGCCGATTCCGATTCGATTCGACTTCGCATTCCTATGTGGGCTCCGACCTCTCAGTGGAGGCCTACTAGCCTACCAATGTCCACCGATCCCATTTTTCCCGACTCGGGTGCCGATTTCCCTCGATCCGACTTATTTCGATTGCCGATCCGACTTCTCGATTCGATTCTGGGCGTTCCTGCCATGTGTTCGTCGCTCCGGAGTCTCGCCTTCACCGAGCCATCCCTCATCGAGAACCAAAGAACCCCTAACCTAACCCTAAATACACGATGAAGACGTGGCCTCACTTAGGTCCCCGTCTTTGCACTAGGGATAATACACCTGAGCGGTTTGGTCTGATACATCTGCACAAAAGGCCCCCTATCCCTAGTGTGTTTTTGGCCCTGCTAAATTAGTTCCCCTACCAATGGGTTAGGTGTACTCTTATTGCTTGTCAATCCCTCCGACGCCTCCACGAATTCTCTGTACGATTTGGTAAGTTTGCGTACTCAGCTTCGGCTCTGGACCGGAGGCGAGGGGATCCGCACCGCGGCCGGACCATCCAGAGCACGGGTGAGTTTTGGGCGTCCCGCCATTGGTGACTTCACCCTCGTGTTCTTCCGTGTTTGTTGAACGTTCTTGTGCATCCTGGGGAGGTACCCTAGGATTTTCTGTTTGTTTTGGCCAGCGGAGTGTCTCATGTTCTTGAAGGGCGTTCTTCTGGCTGGAGTCCGACTGTACCTGAATCCCGCCTCATACGCCCCTCTGCTTCAGGCTCCCGTGTCCGTGGATGAGGTGAGCCAGCGTTGCGAGCAGCTCTCCGTCGAGATGCGCGCGAAGATGGACAAGTTCTCCCGCTTCTGCCCCCCCGCCACCTGTTCGTTCTGCTCGTCCTCTCCCGCTCCTCGTCCTCATCCTCCGCCACTTCACCAGAGGATGGGGCTTCTGCACTACCTCCAGTTCTTCGCTCACCCGCTCCCGGGTCAGGTCGCAAGCTTCTGGTTTTCCAGCGTGGCGAACACATTACGCAATTCCCGCGCTTGAGACGACACGAGCGGCTTAAGATCGGGGTTCGATTGCGTGGACATTTGCGCGTGAGGTTCCCTCGTGAGGTCGCGCGTGAGCTCCCTCTTTCCAACGTGGTGTGCCGCGTTGGCGGCATGCGTCAGCTATCGCGTAAGGCCAGCGCGTCCTCGTGCTGAAGACCCCGTTTCTCTTCGGCGCCGAAAATCGGCGAATCTGGGACGCGACTCCCGCCTGCAGCACTGCGCTCTCTGGTCCAGGCCGCAGATCGGACTTGCTGGTGCGGCGGCGGCGGCGGCAGCGTCGGGAAGCGTTGCCTAGGTGCTGCCCAGGCGCTGCTCACTGGCCTGGGGAACTGCTGCCTCGAGGCTGCGCGCGAGCTCCGGAAGCGCTGCTGGAGCTGCCCAGGGCGATGCACTCGAGCGCAGGAAGCGCCTGCCTGGGAGCCGCCCTGGACCTGCACGCGAGCCTGGGAGGCGCTGCGAAGGCCCTGCGCGCGAGCGGCTCCTCCCGCCCTCGCTGGTCACAGAGCAGCGCTCGGAGCGCCTGCTGCCCGAGCCTCTCGCCCACCGCCCCCCAGGCGCGCGTCTGCGCGCGGCCCAGCGGGCGGGACGACGACGACGTCGACGACGACGACGTCGACGACGACGACGACGACGGAGCTGGAGCGGCCGAGAACCGAGCCGTGGAGGGCGCGGCGCGAGCGGAGGGCAGCTCCGAGCACTGCCGAGCAGGGAGCGTGGAGCACGGGCTGGCCTGCCTCCAAGGAGGCAGGCCCGATGCGATCATCTCGACCAAAGATTATCCCGGCAAAGCAACCTAACAGCGATGTGTAGAAGCATATCTGAAAGCATTCCCCTTAAGATTCAGATGAAAATCCAGTTGTAGAATTCTGCTGTTCTCGCAGTCGTAGTCGCATTCGCGATGACAGTCGCAGCGGCAACGGCAGTCGCAGTCACAGCCTCAGCCTCAGCCTGCCTCAGCCTCAGCCTCAGCCTGCCTCAGCCTCAGCCTGCCTCAGCCTCAGCCTCAGCCTGCTTCAGCCTCAGCCTCAGTCTGCCTTCAGCCTCGGCCTCAGCCTCAGCCTGCCTCAGCCTCAGCCTGCAGCCTCAGCCTCAGCCTCAGCATCAGCCTGCCTCAGCCTCAGCCTCAGCCTGCCTCAGCCTCGGCCTCAGTCTGCTTCAGCCTCAGCCTCAGTCTGCCTTCAGCCTCGGCCTCAGCCTCAGCCTGCCTCAGCCCCAGCCTGCCTCGACCGCAGCATCAGCCTGCCTCAGCATTCAAAATGTGGCCCAGGAAAGGGAGTTCTGGGAAGTCGAAGAGCACGAAGTTGCCTACAGTTGGCTACGGGCATTCAAAATGTGGCCCGGGAATGGAGTTCTGGGAACTCGAAGAGCACGAAGTGGCCTACAGTTGGCTCCGGGCATTCAAAATGTGGCCCGGGAATGGAGTTCTGGGAACTCGAAGAGCACGAAGTGGCCTACAGTTGGCTCCGGGCATTCAAAATGTGGCCCGGGAATGGAGTTCTGGGAACTCGAAGAGCACGAAGTGGCCTACAGTTGGCTCCGGGCATTCAAAATGTGGCCCGGGAATGGAGTTCTGGGAAGTCGAAGAGCACGAAGTGGCCTACAGTTGGCTCCGGGCATTCAGAATGTGGCCCGGGAATGGAGTTCTGGGAGGTCGAAGAGCACGAAGTGTGTGACTGTTGGCTTAAAACGACTTCTGCGGCACCCTGTCCGGCACCCGCCCAGAACCCCCTGTGGAGTCATCTGCTGCTCTCTTTTTAGCCCATTAGAAACCTATCAGTCTTCGCTGTTAGGTAAAAAGCGACACCACCCCACCCGCGGCCTTCCGTGTTGCGCTACGGCCCATCGGGCGCCGTAGCGTATACCACGCAGAAGCCCACGCCAGATCTGTTGGTATACGGTAAGCCCCGTGGGGCCGCAGGTAGGGTGGTGTTGTTTGTTTTCTGGTCCAGCATCGTCGTGCACTGTCGGAGGCGTGGCGGAGGAGTTCCTACTGGTTGCCGGAGGTGTCCTGCTGGTTCGGCCTGGCGCTGGGCAAGGTCAGTTGCTGTGGGACGGTGGCGAGCGAGCCCTCTCGACCGCAGATGCGGGAGGAGGCGGAGGAGGAGGAGGAGGAAAACACAGAGGATGAGGATTGGCCTGCCTCCAAGGGGGCAGGTCCAATCCAAGCACCGTCGTTTAGTATCCTTACACCTTTCCCCATCCCCGCTGGGCCGTGGTATCTAAGCCCCACCATCCCACTCTGCCAATTGGGCATAGGTCCTTCGAATCCCGAAGGGAGCAGTCTAGTTATACCCCCATCGTAAGGAGACAGATCGGCTAGTGGGGCCAAGGCCATGCCAGTGGGGATGGGGATCGGTTAAAGACGCTCAAGGTCCGATCCAAGCATTGTCGAGCACTGGGAAGGGAGGATGAGGATGAGGATGATGATGAGGAGGATGAGGAGGAGGAGGAGGAGGAGGAGGAGGAGGAGCAGGACACGGAGGACGAGGATGGCCCGAGTATATTCAGGAAGCACCAGCGGTGCTGCACCGCGCCTGTGCCAAAGGCCATCTCCTTCTCAGTGCGGGGATGGCCGTCTTGACAGGCGGGCGCCCTGTGTGCCTGCCGTTGGGCCGAGAGCCTTGTACTGAAGAGGAGCCACCGGCACCCAGGCTCTGCTCACAATTCTTGTCGCCTGAGAGCTCCACCGTTCCCGAGCCCATGGTCTGCCATCCCAGCTTCTTGCATTCCGCATGCTCTCCCAATTAGCGGAGGCACATGAGAAGGACACATGCGTACCATTCCCGGCATATGATGAGTGTGAAGAAGCGCTATCCCGACGCCGTTCCGAAGCCTCCTCCTCCACCTCCTCTTTTTTCTTTTTTCCCCAACCAGCCCAGCCATCCCCCTCCCTCCTCGCCTCTCTCTCCCTCCCCCTCCCCCCTCAGCGCGAGGACAGCAGGGGGTCACCCGAGGTCTCCGGACGTCCTCGAAGATCTGCAGAGGTCCCCTGGAGGCCCACAAAGCCCCCCCCAAAAAGAACGTCCAGAAGCTGGATCCTTTAGGCAGGCCTAGGAGGAAGATTAATCGCTCCGGAGCGGCGTTCTGGAACGCTCTCAGAGCGTGCTGGCGGGCGTCCTGAATCGACCGTTGCGCCCGATACACCTTTCAGACCCACCAGCTCCCAGAGATTCACCTTCATCCTGCCTTTGTCTTCATCTTGCCTTCGTCTTCGTCTTCCCGTTGCGCCCGATGTGTCTTCCTCCTAAATAAGCTTCATCTTGCCTTTGTCTTCATTGTTGAGCCTGGATTCTCCACGACCGCGGTCTCGACGGTGACAGGGTCCATCATTTCGATCCGGTTCGATACTGATTCTGGCTGGTTCGATCCGTTTCGATCCCGAGCTTCCGACGACCCGACGCACCCCGATGTTGGCATGGAGGAGGAGGAGTGAATGGGCCAACACTTCCTGGCATGACTTTGGCGACGCGAGGGAGTCTGGGTTTCTCGCTCGTGAATTCGGACTCGATCCGATTTCCCGATCCGATGCTGGCCGATCCTGGAGAGCGTTTTTCAGCTAAGGGGGGGGGGGGTCTGGGGGGGGAAGGGGGGAGGGGGCAGGCCACGTCGCGATTCGCGCCGATGCCGCCTGGGAATGCCTGCGAGTGGCTCATTCCTAGACGGCGTCTGACGTGACCAGGAGGGGTGGAGGGGGGGATGGAGGGGCGGAAGCCATTGGTGTGTGGATCTCATGGCCTGGGCCACGACATCTCGCAGATTCCCTGCCCCCCCTTTTCTCCTTTGCGCACGTCTCCTGGCCCCCGCTCGTCCACTTGGGGGGGGGGTGGCCAGTCACGGCCGTTATCGCGAACAGCAAAACATGATGGGCGCCTGCGGCGCTGGTGGTTTCCGCGCGGGTGTCAGGCTCCGCGTCGATATCATCGCGGAGATGCGGGGGGAGATGCTGCGGGCGCTTCGGGAGGAGCGGTGGGCCGCTTCTCGGAGAAAGGGGGGAAGAGGCGCAGGAGGAGGGAGGAGGAGGAAGGAGGGAGGGAGGGAGGGAGGCAGGAAGCTAGAGGAAGGGAGGGAGGGAGGGAGGGAGGGGGGGAGGGAGGGAGTTAGTGAGGGGGTGAGGGAGGGAGGGAGGGAGAGAGGAGGGTGATGAGGACGATGATGATGGTGATGATGATGAGGATGATGGTGATGATGCTGCTGATGATGATGATGATGATGAGGATACTGATGACGATGACGATGACGATGCTGGTGATGATATTGATTATGTTGATGATGATTACATATGATGATGCTGATTATGTTGATGATGATGCTGCTGCTGATGATGACGATGACGGGAATGATGATGCTGGGGATGCTGAGTGTTCATGGTAGCGGTACTGAGCTTTAGTATGCGGACCATGATGTTGACGATGATGTTGTTGATGATGATGATGATGATGGTGATGATGGGAACTATGACGATGCTTATGCTGACGCTGCTGCTGATGATGATGATGCTGATGACGCTGCTGCTGCTGCTGCTGCTGACGGCGACGACGATGCTGATCGCGATGCTGATGATGATGCTGTTGATGATGTTGTTGAGGATGCCGATGCTGATGATGATGCTGATGCTGATGCTGTAGATGATGATGATGATGATGCTGATGATGATGATGCTGATGGTGATGATGCTGCTGATGATGATGATGCTGCTGATGCTGATGATGATGCATCTGATGATGACGATGACGATGATGCTGCTGATGATGTTGACGATGCTGATGATGCTGATTATGATGCTGTTGCTGCTGCTGATGATGATGATGATGATGAGGATGACGATGCTGATTATGATAACGATGATTGATGTTGATGATAATGATGCTGATGACGATGATGATGTTGCTGATGCTGATGCTGATGCTGATGATGATGACGCTGATGCTGCTGATGATGATGAGTATGATTATTACTATTATTACCGGTATCTGTATTATGATGTTGTTAATGATGATGTTGCTGCCGATGCTGATGCTGATGCTGATACTGATGCTGATGCTGATGTTGATGCTGATGCTGATGATGCTTACGCTGTTAGTGCCAATGATGTTGGCGTGGAGGAGGAAGAGGCGGAGCAGGAGTAGGAGTAGGAGCAGGAGTAGGAGTAGGAGTAGGAGTAGGAGTAGGAGTAGGAGAAGTAGGAGGAGGAGGAGGAGGAGGCGGAAGACGATGAGGTGGGGGAGGAGGGGCAGGAGGAGGTAGGAGGGAGAAGGTACAATGGGGGGAGGGTCAGGTGAGGGAGGGTGGTGAAGGGAGAGGGGAGGATGGACAAGCTAGTTGCGTTCGGGCCATCCCTGGCATTCTGCCTCACCAACCCATCCCTTTCCATTGCAATGTATTCTTTTCTCTCCGTCGGCTGGGGTGTCCTAGATGACCTGGATTCCCCAAATGACCCCATTGTGTGGTTTGCAACCAGACATTGGGTCTTTGCATGTTGGATGCGGAGGAGGTGGAGGTGTCGGATGAGCAGGAAGATGATCAGCAGGAAGAGCAGGAGGACGAGGAGGAGGAGGAGGAATAGGATGCCGAAGAAGGGAGAGCAGCAGCATGTGCAGGAGAAGGAGGAGCAGGAGAACCAGGGGAAGGTAGAGGCAAGAAAGGGATGGAACGGCAACGACGCGGTACACATTGGATCCAGAAATGTGGCCCGCGCTTGGGCGAGAGCGCAAGTCTGAAAGATGGGAGCAACGCGCCGATCCTGAAATGCGACCACCGCTGCAGCGGGAACACCATTGTGAGAAACAGAGAACGTTCTGACAGGAAAAGACAGACCGAACGCCGACTCGGGACAATCCTGTGTGTAAAAGCAAATGTGCGGATCAGGCAGGGAAACATACAAACCTCATCAGGGGGAGAGGAGAGCAGTGCAGCTGGCGCGAGGTCGAAGCAAAACACCTTCGGAAGGGTGCACTTCTGCTCTTCGTGCCTAGTGCCCCCGTCTCGGCGTTCCTGGTGCCGCGGCGCGCCCCGCTGGCTCCCGGACGCGCCTGCGACCGCCGGGGCTGCGGACCGAACGTTGGCCCCCCCCCGAGTGCTCTCCGCTTGGGGTGCGGAGCTCCATTAGGGCCCTGGGCCTTCGGCGAGGGGGCTCATGCTCCTGACCGCGTGTCTCCGCTATGCCACGGTCAAGGCGCTGAAGCAAGGAACAGTTTGGGTTCGGAAGGGGCTGGCTGTTCCTTGGGTCCTTCCATGGCTGTTCGTCTACAGTAGCCCTCCTCGTGAACGAAGGAGGTTTTGGGGCCTGAGAGGGGCTTGTTTCCTTATTTGGCATTCCATCTTTCAGGCGCCCGACTGTATTGTTTTTCCTACGCTTAGCGGTTGCCTGCAATGCGTGTGAGGGCGTGGCAGAACCTCTGCCACGGGCGCCCACAGCCCACTTCCTAAAATCAGTACCTGTCGGTCGTTGAACGTAGGTATTTCTGGATGCCCAGATCCCAATCTGTTTAAGGCTTCTTCCAACTTCAACGAACGAGTGGCCTTCCTCTTCACTCCTCTTCAGGGGCCAGGCGGAAGCCAATCTACTTCCAACGCCTGTCTACTTCATGCTTCTATTCAGTTTTTCCGACCGACGGGCACTTGATTGTGATTGAACATGTTGTTCCGGACTGCACCTGTGGGCTTCGTCGCCCTCGGGGCTTTTGAGCGGCCTCTCTATAGTCGGTCCGAGGTATACGATCGAGGCTGGTTTGGGGAGGGTATCCTAATGTTCTTCGTGCTTGTTGGATGTTCTCGTGCATTCTGGGGATGGTACCCTTGGATGTTCTGTTTGTCTTGGCCGACCGAGGGTCTCATGTTCTTGAGGGGTGTTCTTCTGGCCTAGGTCCGACTGTGTCTGATTCTGATTGAATATCTTGCTTCGGATTGCACACGTGGGCTTCGTCACCCTCGGGGCCTGTGAGCGGCCTCTCTATGCTGCTGCTCTCGTGTGGAGGAGCAGCTCGAGCGAAAGGGCAACGGAGACGGTAATAAGTCGTGCTCGGACAATACAGAAGCCTGCCGCAACGCACCCTCCGCGCCAGCTGAGTCACAGTGCTGCCGTAGCGGCGGCTTTTATGATGATGTGCCTGAAGTGATCGGGCAACGAAATCTATACATATCCACTGCCCCCTGGCCGGGACCTTCCTGGGCCCAGGAGCTGTGTATACGCCCCCCTTGGCCAAGCCAGGAGGGCGCGGCGTATATACCGCTGCTGGGTTCCGGACCGGCCTGGCCAGGAAGCAGTGGATACAGTCAACCCGCATAGGAAGTATGAGATTCCTCTCGCTTCGCGGGGTGCATGTCCGGAGCACGCACAGTCCAGTCGTTTCGGAGTGTCCTGGGAGCTCTTGGGGGTCTTGTGGAGGCTTCTTGCGGGCATCTTGGGGCTTGTTTGGAGCCTCGTCGGGGCTTTTTGGGGGTTTCTTGGGCAAAAATATGGCGCCGCGTTGTCGCGAGTCATCTGGATCCCTGGATAGCATATGAGGAGATTGCAATCGATGTGGTCCGTGCGCAGGTTGGGAAAACGTGCAGCCCAGTCGTTGGCGGACTGCAGAGGATCTCTGGGGGGGCCTCTGGGCTGCGCCTTCTGGGCGTCAGTGGGGTTCTCTTGGGAGCTTCCTGGGGCATTTTTTGCGCGTCTTGGGCTGTTTTGGGGCGCTCTGTGCCTCTGCTACCCCTCCCTCCCGCCTCCCGCCATCGCTCCTTTTCCTTCTCCCCTCCCCTTCCTCCCTTCCAGCGCTGGCTCTGATCACGGACGCCGCCGTGACCAACTTCCATCTGGCTGGCGATGCGCCGCGGTTCGCCCAGGGCGGGGTATTATTGTTGAGTGACTCGCCGAGGGTGTTTCAGAGCACGTTCAGTCCAGTCGTTGTGGGGCCTCCTGGGAGTCTCCCGGGAGCTTCTTGGAAGCTTCTTAGGCGCTTTTTGGAGCCTCTGGGGGGCCTCTTTGGAGCCTCTTGGGGCCTCTTGGGGACGTCTTGGGCTGTCTTTGGGCGCTCTCACGCCGTCTGGCCACTTCGGAGGCCACTTTGGAAGCCTCTCGCGGCCGCCTTGGGGCTCTCTTGGGGTCCTCGGGGGCCGTCATGGGGGCTTCTTGGGCCGTCTTGGAGGTTTTTTTTGGCCGTCTCGGGGCCGTTTTGGGCCGTATCGGGGCCCCCATTGGAGGCCTCTTGGGCCGTTTGAGGGCCTTCTTGGAGGCTGCTTGGGCCGTCGTGGCCTTCCGGGAACCGAAAAAGGTGAGAACGTTGAAATTGTTCCAGAACTATAGAATTATCAAAAATTCTGGCTTCCGAAAGCGCTCTCGGAAGTTTTCTTGGGGGCCTCTTGGACTTTTTTGGGGGCCTCATGGGCCCTCTTGGGGCCATCTTGGGCCGTCTTGAGGCCGTCTCGGGCTGTTTTCAGCCTGCGGACGAGGGCCCCTGCGAGAACAGGCTGGAGGACCAGAAGGGCAAGCGCAAGTTCGGCCTGGACCTGGGCGCGGGCGGGGGCTTCTTCGAGGGCGGGCTGGAAGACCGAAGGGCCAGTGCAAGCGCGAGGTCGCCCTGGGCCTGGGCGCAGACGCGAGCGCGCGCGAGGTCAGGCTGGATTTCGACGGCCAGGGCGGCCTCTCGGACCGCCCTCGTAGCGGCCGGCGCCCCCCTGGGGCTCCCACTTGAGGCCCCGCGCCCGCTCGCGGGCGCCGCGGGCTGAGTCGCCGTGTCTGCGCGGGTGCCGTTCTTCCGCTTGCCTCGGTTGAGGCGGGTGATTGCTCTCGTCGCACGGGCGAATCTGCGCGTGTGCGCCAGGGCGCATGAGACTGGGCGTTGCCTCCGCAGGGCCAAAGGGAACGCCTCGGTCCGAAGGGCAGTACGAGCAAGGAGCCCCTGGCCCCTTCAGCTGCGGGGCTCATTCTCATTATCGTCCGAATCAATTGATCGTCATCCTCGGCATCATCATCACCATGAACATGAGCATCGTCATCATCATCATCCTGATCATGTTCATCATGATTACCATGATCATCATCGTAACCATCACCCGTCGCATCATCATTAGAATCCGTATGACCAAGATGGTTCTCGCCATCGTCATCAGCATCATCACTGTCGCAATCATCATCATCCCCAGCACCAACATCAGCGCCACCGTCATCATCACTTCCATTGCCAGCCATTTTCATCATGATCATCGTCAGCATCGTTTTCGTCGCCTCGGTCATGACCGTCGGCATCGTCATCAACATTATCATCTCCAGCACAACTGTCACCATCATCTGGGTCACCATCATCACCAACATCACCTTCATTTCCCTCATCACCAACATCACCATGATCAACCTCATCAACTCCATCATCCCCATCACCATCATCAGCATCACCGTCATCGCAATCATCATCAGCATCTCCATTATCATCATCATTATAAAAACCAGCACCACCATCATCAGCATTCCGATTTTCGTCAGTGCCGTCAGCACCACCACTATCCTCATCAGGATCATCATCATCATCGTCATCACCACCACCATCTTCGTCGTCGCCGTGATCGCCAAGCACAAGCGCCACCATTATCACCATCATTATCGTCATCATGATCATGAACATCATCATCGTCATGGTAATCATCATCACCAACCCAATCATCAACACCATCATCAACATCATCATCACCATCATCATCACCATGATGAACAACATCACCATCAGCACCCTCACCTGCGTCATCATCACCACCATCATCGCCTCCATCATCTTCACTATTATTTTCATGATCGTTGCCATCACCATATTCCACCCACGTCATCACACATACCCCAAGCATTCGCATGATCAGCACCACAATCGTCATCACCACCACCATCAGCATCGACATCATTATCAGCAGCATATCCATCACCAACCATCATTATCATAACCACAATCATCACCACCATCGTCAGCATCAGCATCATCATCATCGCAGTGATCATCATTGGCACCATCATCATCAACACCATCATCAGCACAACCATCATCAGCACCACCATCGTCACCATCATCATGATGAGCATAATGGTCATCGTCACCTTCATCGTCACTACCGTTATCAGCGCCACCAGTATCATCATCAATAGCAGCATCGCCATCGCCATGTTCAGCATCGATATGGTCAGCCATACCACCAACATCACCACCATCACCGTGACCACATATTTTGATATGATAGTTTTTTCCAGCTTTTACGCGACCACATAGTTCGACAGTATCATCATTCTCATCATGGCCAGCATCATGCTGTGTGATACCCTCATTTTTGTAGCTCTTGGCTTCGTCGTTGGAACAGAGCGTGTCGATGTGCAGTCTACTTTCATAGGCCGACCTTGGAGTCATGCAGCTTAGACTTGCCATCACCAAGCTAGCCCCATGTGTAGGGGGCGGCGTATTTAAAGTGTGTCTGTAGCGCTTGGGCGTACAGTGGTCGCTATACACAAGGCAGGCATAACTGCTTTGTTGCTTGTCAGGCATGCGGTGGCGATCATCTTTTATATTGTTTTGAGCGTCTTTTTGCCTTGGAACATCTATCTCGTGTCCTGCCACTTCTCCCGCCCGCCTCTCTTGCCTGGTCTGCCCTCGAAAGGTTACTGCTCACCCATGGCCGTGCAGTCACTTCCCCCGCGATGTTCTCAGCAATGCTCTCGCGGGACCTGCTGTTCGGCACCTTGAGCTTTCTAAGAGGCCAATGAGGGTATGGCCCCGGATGCTCGAGCGCAGACAATCTCTAAAAGGAATCCTCACATTCGGGCACTGTTCATCAGATAACCTAGCGCGTGAGGGGGCTTCGTCATCATCATCGTCATCATCATCACCACCATCATCATCATCACCATCACCACCACCATCACCACTGTCATCGTCACCATCGTCACCATCATCATCATCATCATCATCATCATCGTCATCATCATCATCATCATGATCACCAGGCTCATTGTCATCGTCATCACCAGCGTCGTCATCATCACCACCATTGTCACCATCCTCATCGCCACCATCATCATCACCATCATTGTCATCGTCATCGTCATCATCATCCCCAGGGGGCCACCTCCTGCATTGTTTCGCAGGACGTCGCCTTCTTCCAGCAGAGCCATCTCGCGGAGGTCCGCGAGGCCGTGGCCATGGCCGGCTCGCCGGCGCGGGACGCGGTGGCGGCGAGCGAGGCTCGCCAGTTCTGTGCGTTGGGGTGGGGGGAGGTTGTGATGCTGGTGCTGACGCTGATGACGATGCTGATGCTGCTCATGAAGAGTCTGATGCTGTTTGCTGATGCTGATGCTCATGCAGATGCGGCTGATGATGCCGATGATGGCGATGGCGATGTTAATGTTACTGATGATGGTGATGATGATGGTGATTGTGCAGGTGTTAATGATGATGCTAATGATGATGCAGATGATGACGATGACGACGATGACGTTGACGATGACGATGATGATTCATACGATGATGATGATGCTGGTGATGATGATGATGATGCTGATGACGATGATGATGGTAATGATAATGATGATGACGATGATAATGATGAAATGATGATGATGATGATGATGATGACAATGATGAAATGATGATGATGATGATGATGGTGATGATGATGATGATGGTGATGATGATGATGCTGATGATGGTGATGATGAAGATGATGATGGTTGTGATCTGGATCATGTGAATCATGATGATGACGATGCTGACGCTCATGATCAAGGGCATGATCACGATCATGATGCTTATAGTAGTGGCGATGTTTTTTGTTAAGAATGTGAATACGATGGTGATTGTAATGGTACTGATCATGATACGCACGATGTGGGTGAGAGGGAGGACGAGGATGTTGGTGATGATGATGCTGTTGAAGATTATGTTGATGATGATGATGATGATGATGATGATGATGATGATTCTGATGCTGATGCTGATGATGATGCATGATGGCGGTGATGATGGTGACGACTGTGATCGTGACTCATGATGGTGACAGTGATGGTTATGCTGTGGTAATGCTGCTGCTGATTATGCGGCTTCGGCTACTGCTGATGGCGACGAGCACGATGATGCTGCTGATGGTGATGATGCTGATCCTAATGGTGATGCTACTGCTGGTGCTGCTTATGCTGATGGTGAGGATGAGGATGCTGCTGCTGATGATGATGATGATGATTCTGGTGACGATGATCTGGATGATGTTGGTGATGATCATGATGCTGATGATACTGATGATGAGGATAATGACGATGATGCTGATGATGATGAGGATGGTGATGCTGATACTGATGATGATGCTTGTGATGACGATGCTGACGATGCCGATATTGCTACTGTCGTTGATGATGATGACGATGATGTTGCTGATGCCTTTGTTATTATTGTGGTTGATGAAGTCTCATAATTCTAAAATGCTCATTGTTGATCTCCCCTCGTGCCCATGTGATTGTTCGATTGAAGTGTTCTTCCTGGGGCTCGCACCTTGCTTTTAACAAGGGCAAGTCTTGCGCCTCAGATAAGCGTGTTGTCCCCTGTATTACCACAGCAGCTGCCTCCGCCCGATACGTCTTTGAAACTTATTTTATAATCGCTCTCTCGCGCGGAACTTCCTCACAGTGCATGCAGGAATCACTCTCTCGTGTGGTACGTCCTCGCTTTTTTTGCGGCGCCGCGCCCTCGACACTCAGAAATCACGCTGTCGCGTTGGTTTTTCTTGCGACTTGCTCGAGAACTACGCTATCGCCCGAGATTTCCTCGCGAATCATGCAGAGCTGATGTTTTAGCAACCTGCCTGCTCGACCCAGCGGCCTGGGGTCGCCTTGGCGACCCGCCCGCTAGGGTTTGCCCGCCTGATCTGCCCGTCTGGTTCTGTGACGTGTTGTCTGCTTCTAGCCACCCTCCTGCTAATTCCTCTCGTGCTCCATCCTTCTCCCTTCCTCCTTGTCCCTTCCTTCCATCCGTCCTCTCCTCCCCTGTTTTAAGGGTTGCGCCCAATACATGCGACAGGTGAGGAAGGTATTCATCCAAGGGGGTACGATTGAAGACGAAGAGGGCGGCGGGTATCGAGGGTCTGGGGTATATGTGTTGAGTGGCACGCGAGCAGATCAGTGCGAAGAGTCTTACAATTATTGTCATTGAAATTCGGCTCTTGAAGAACATTGATTGCTGATCCCCTCTCCCTGGTGCCCACATTGTTTTTTAATTGAAGTGCCTCGCCCGGGGCTCGCACCCTGTCCTTTATCAGGAAAAATCGTGGGGCTCAATTTGTGCCCCTGGCCCCCAGTTTACAACAACAACGGTTACCGCCTGATTCTTCCTCGCGGTTAATTGAGAGATCGCGATCTCGCGCGGGACTTCCGCACAATTGATCCAGGAGCCGCGCTCTCTCGTGGGATGTTCTCGCATTTTTTGAAACTCCCATCCTGGGTGCTCCTTTGGGCCGTTTTAGGGCCCTCTTGGGCCGTCTTGGGGTCCTCTTTGGGGGCCTCTGGGGCCGTCCTGGGACCATGGGGGGGGGCCCTCTGGGGCCTTCTTGGGGGCTTTTTGGGCCCTCTCTGGGCCATCTTGGACCGTCTTGGGGTCGTCTTGTCCCGTCTTGAGGCCATCTTGAGCCGTCTTGACGCACTCTTGGACCCCCAAGAAGTCCCAGGGGCCCAAATCATAGATTTTCCAGAGGTTGCTGTACGTTTATGGGCCCCAGAAGTCGTCTTGGGGTCCTCTCGGGCGTTTCTTGAGCCGTCATGGTGCGATTTTGGAGGCTGCTTGGGCCGTCAGGAGTCACACATTATAGCCGGAGTGCAGTATCCCCAAACAGGGTTTTTAGACCCACTGCGGTTTCCAAGGTCGATTCCGTGCCCGTCCAGTGCGGGCTGGCATGGCATGTTTAAACACGCCTTCTCCTCCTCCTCCTCCTCCTGCTCCTCCTCCTCCTCCTCCTCTTCATCCCGAACGGCATCTCGGAGCCCAGAGTTGCGAGGATGTCTCCAGCGTAACGGGCTGGACCACCTCGCGCGCAGCTTTTCGGACCCCAGAGTTGCGACGATGTCTCGGGCGAAACGTGGTGCGAGGAAGTCTCAGGCGAAACGGGCCGGACCACCTCGAGCGCGGCGTCTCAGAGCTCCGAGTTGCGGGGGCCTCCTCGTGCCTCCTGGGACCTCCTGGTGGCCTCCTGGGGCTTCCTCCTGGTCCTCCTGTGGCCTCCTGAACTCCACCTGGGGCCTCCTGAGGCCTCTTGGGGCTCCCAGGGGGGGATATCTAACATGTGGCCGTCGGGGCTCCCCAAAATGGGGGGAGGAGGGGGCACAAGAGCAGGAAAAATCGACGAATCGACACCGGATGTGTTTTAACTTGACACGTTCTGAGAGGGGGCCTCCTGGGGCCTCCTGGGAGCCTCCTGGGAATCTCCTGGGGACACCTGGGGCCTGTCCTGGGCGTCCTGCGGCCTCCTGAAGCTCTCTGGGGCCTCCTCGGAGCCACATGTGGTCTTCTGGGCCCCCAGGCTGGACCACCTCTTGCGCAGCATCTGAGAGCTCAGAGTTGCGAGAATGTCTTGTGCGAAACGGGCCGGACCACCTTGCGCACGGCATCTCAGAGCTCAGAGTTGCGAGGATGTCTCAGGCGAGACGGGCCGGACCACCTCGCGCAGGGCATCTCGGAGCCCAGAGTTGCGAGGATGTCTCCAGCGTGACGGGCTGGACCACCTCGCGCGCGGCATTCGGACCCCAGAGTTGCGACGATGTCTCGGGCGAAACGTGCTGCGAGGAAGTCTCAGGCGAAACGGGCCGGACCACCTCGAGCGCGGCGCCTCAGAGCTCCGAGTTGCGGGGGCCTCCTGAAGCCTCCTGGGGCCTCCTGGTGACCTCCTGGGGCTTCCTCCTGGGCCTCCTGTGGCCTCCTGGACCCCACCTGGGGCTTCCTGAAGCCTCTTGGGGCTCCCAGGGGGGGATATCTAACATGTGGCCGTCGGGGCTTCCCAAAATGGGGAGGGGGCCACAAGAGCAGGAAAAATCAACGAATCGACACTGGATGTGTATTAACTGGACACGTTCCGATAGGGGGCCTCCTGGGGCCTCCTGGGAGCCTCCTGGGAATCTCCTGAGTACCCCTTGAGCCTGTCCTGGGCGTCCTGCGACCTCCTGAAGCTCTATGGGGCCTCCTGGGGCTCCCAGGGTCCCAGGGGGGATATGTAACATGTGGTCTTCTGGGCCCCCAGGCTGGACCACCTCTTGCGCAGCATCTGAGAGCTCAGAGTTGCGAGAATGTCTTGTGCGAAACGGGCCAGACCACCTTGCGCACGGCATCTCAGAGCTCAGAGTTGCGAGGATGTCTCAGGCGAGATGGGCCGGACCACCTCGCGCAGGGCATCTCGGAGCCCAGAGTTGCGAGGATGTCTCCAGCGTGACGGGCTGGACCACCTCGCGCGCGGCATTTCGGACCCCAGAGTTGCGAGGATGTCTCGGGCGAAACGTGCTGCGAGGAAGTCTCAGGCGAAACGGGCCGGACCACCTCGAGCGCGGCGTCTCAGAGCTCCGAGTTGCGGGGGCCTCCTGGGCCTCCTGGGACCTCCTGGTGACCTCCTGGGGCTTCCTCCTGGGCCTCCTGTGGCCTCCTGGACCCCACCTGGGGCTTCCTGAAGCCTCTTGGGGCTCCCAGGGGGGGATATCTAACATGTGGCCGTCGGGGCTTCCCAAAATGGGGAGGGGGCCAGAAGAGCAGGAAAAATCAACGAATCGACACTGGATGTGTATTAACTGGACACGTTCCGATAGGGGGCCTCCTGGGGCCTCCTGGGAGCCTCCTGGGAATCTCCTGAGGACCCCTTGAGCCTGTCCTGGGCGTCCTGCGACCTCCTGAAGCTCTATGGGGCTCCTGGGGCTCCCAGGGTCCCAGGGGGGATATGTAACATGCGGTCTTCTGGGCCCCCAGGCTGGACCACCTCTTGCGCAGCATCTGAGAGCTCAGAGTTGCGAGAATGTCTTGTGCGAAACGGGCCAGACCACCTTGCGCACGGCATCTCAGAGCTCAGAGTTGCGAGGATGTCTCAGGCGAGACGGGCCGGACCACCTCGCGCAGGGCATCTCGGAGCCCAGAGTTGCGAGGATGTCTCCAGCGTGACGGGCTGGACCACCTCGCGCAGGGCATCTCGGAGCCCAGAGTTGCGAGGATGTCTCGGGCGAAACGT